GGAAGAAAGAAGAAAAAAAAAAAAAAAGGAAGAAGATGAGTCGAGCTTTTTTATTTTTTATTAAAAATATAAATCCTCAATAAATTTAATTTATGAGGTGGCACCGAACACGTCGTCAAAATAAATTCCAAATCAACATTTTTTAATGTTATTTTTGCCATGTCATAAAAAAAAAACATAAAAAATGCCACATGGCGGACTTAACGGCTCAAATTGACAGAAGGACTAACGGAGTGCATTTCGTCTAGTTGAGGGATCAAAAAAGTGCAAAAAATTGTTGAGGGATCAAAAATGTGCATTTATTAAAGTTAAGGGACTAAATTTAGCATTTAACCTAATAAAAAATATTCTTATAATTTAATGATTATCTCTTCTTTATAAAAAAGTTTTAATACTACACTTGACAAGCGTGGGATTTGAAAAACACCCTCAATGTTAAAAAAAGAAAAAAACATACGTATAATAAATACATCATATGATATCACAAATTTTAGAGTTTTTCTATCTTACATCATAAACACGATAAAGTTGCATTTATTACACCATTTTATTATTAATATATAATAAAATTAAAATTAATATTAATTTTTTTATTTTTATATAAATTAATATATAAAAAATATATTTAAGACACTTTAATCTATACTTATAAAATATAAATTAGATAAATTTTATATTTTAAAAATATAAAAAAATAATATTTAAATAATATATAAAATTGTATAAAAAAATTTTTTTTTTAAAAATCCTCTGCTTCATTTTCTTTATTTTTAAAATTTGGTGGCTGGGTGGAGCCCATAATATCCATTGCGTGGTGCAAGTATCAGCATTTGGCTCCGAGAACGGTAAATTGCCACGTGGCGAAATGTAGGACGACGGAATTGGACTAATATTGACGGTCCAATTTTATTGCCTATTTTCAAAAAAATAATACTGACGGTCCAATTAAGTTCCTATTTTCAAAAATAATAATGTGATATCATTATTGTCAAACTTTTTCTAATTAAGTTCGTTGGTCCAATCAGGGCCTACAAAATTAACGTTAATCAAAGTCAAAGAGTGCTTTTTACTATCGGATAATGTTCTTTCAATGTGATTTGGTCTAAGAACGTCCCCACGCCTATTCATGTTTGGATAATGTGTTGACTTAACTTTTTTTTAAATAAAATTTGATTTTTTTTCATTTTTAATAGATTTTATTTAATTTTTAAAATATAAATTTTAAATAAAAATTTAATAATTTATTAAA